ATGAGGGGGTACCAGGTAACGGGTGTGCCAGGTTCCTAAAGCTCATGTCTTTCCTACATCTAGATAAATGGCATAGTTCCCCATTACTGCGTAAGCCTCATATGAGGATATGTCAGCAGTCAGAGACACAAATCCACGTTCCAGGTAGTGCCAGGCAGGGCTCGTCCTTAACTATTCTGAGTCATGTTTTCTTCAACAATGGAATAAAGGATTGAATTGCATAGGTTCAAAGGTCCCATCCTTCTCTAAACATTGTGATCCTCTAAATGAGGTGGAAAGGGAAACAGGTTCACAAGCAGATACTCAAATGGGAATACTTGTTCTACCAACTCTTTAAATTGATTGGGCTCTGAGTTATTGCAACAAAGAATGACAAGGGTTTGTAACCAGGCCTTGAACATAATCAGAATGGAAACCATATCTCCCTTTCTGTTCCCCCAAGTCTGACCATGATCCACTGGGAGCCGCTGTGCACTATCCCAGAAACAAGAAAAACACCAGAAAAAAAAAAAATCACTGAAGGTTTTCTATGTGATGAGACAGGCTATGTTCTTCACATAATTTCTCACAACAACCTGAGAGGTTGGTATTATTATCCCTGTTTTATAAGTAAGAAAACAGACATTGTGGAGCCCTGGGCAAGTCACAACCATTTTGAGTCCATTTCCAGAAGTATAAAATAAGTCACTTCATCCAGCTGACTTTAAAGGCCCCTCCTTCTCTGTGACTCAAAACAAGCTTAGATTTGACTTCCTAGACCTTGAAAGACTCATGATTACCATGCAAACCCAGTTGGCCAGAAAATAGGATATCTAGTTCCCCACCTCGAGCACCATTCAGAGGCTCACAGAAACACAAAACCACATCTACTAAACCCAGAACCTCCTTGGGATGCTCTCACATTCTGTACTGTAAGCAAGGTGATTATTAAAACCCATTATTTTCCTATGAAGACATCATGGGCTGCCTTAAAGCAAACTGCCAAGGAAAAAAGAAAGCATGTAGGGTAAAATCACCATAGGCCCCAGAAGTCAGAGACTGGTCCCAGGATAAAGACAGAGGTATCTCCTCTCTATCACTGTAGAAAGGGCCGGAGCTGCTGCATGGAATGAAAGCTCCCTGAGGACCAAGCTAGGGTCAAAACTTGGAAAATCATTATGATTAGAAAGGAATTACCCCCATGGTCCTTAAGAATCATCACCAGCATCATCAATCCATCATCCACCATGCAATTATAAAGCATCTGCTCTGTACATGGCTCAAAAGCTAGGCTAGTCATTTGCTTAAGATGTCAAGTTCTGTTTTTTCCTAACTGTCAGGATGACGAAGGGGAAGAAGGCCTTAACAACCTCAGACAGGATCCAAGGGACAATACAGAGTATCTCTAGAAAGAGCATATGAGATTCTCTTAGGTAGGTAAGGGAGAGGAGTCCTAAGAGAAAGTGAAGGACCTGCTGGGATCACGACTTAGAATAGAGTGCCCAGATCTATTTACTTTCTGCTACTGCTGCTAAGTCGCTTCAGTCGTGTCCGACCCTGTGCGACCCCATAGACGACAGCCCACCAGGCTCCCCTGTCCCTGGGATTCTCCAGGCAAGAATACTGGAGTGGGTTGCCATTTACTTGCTAGGCTGCCCTTAAAAACAAAACAAAACAAGGGAAAAAAAAAAAACCAAGCTAAACGACAGAAATTTATGTTCTAACAGTTCTGGAGGCTGGAAGTTCAAGATCAGGGGCCCTTGAGGCCCTATGTAATGACAGCAGTATAATATTGCTATATTAACCAACTCTTTTCACTTTGATATTCCTAGTTACCCTGGGAGTCAACCCTACTCGCAACCAGATATGTGGTATGGAGGGTTCACCCCATGGTTCTGCAGAACCAAAGGGTCAGATGCTTAAGCTTTTGTTTTCAAAGGGCAAAGGTCAGATTTAATTAGTCTGCCTCATTAACATAAGGCTACCCTACAGCAAAAACTGAACCAGAAATGTCAGTAGTTCAGCAAAAAAAAACTTATTTGAGTTGAGCCTTCCTCCTCCATCTTTTAGCAGCATCATTTGGAACACACAGCCTTGAAGGTCAGTGTAACAAAGGAAGAAAGAGAATGAAGAGTTCACATTCCTTCTAACATTCCTCAGCCTATAGAGTATTCTGCTCAGGCTTTCATAACAAGATACCACAAACTGGATTGCTCAAACAGCAGAGATTTGTTTCTCACTATTCTAGAGGCTGGAAGTCCAAAATCGAGGTGTCAGCATGTATACTTTCTCCTGCGGCGTCTCTCCTAGACCTGGGCCTCCTTCCGTCCTCCTGTGGTCTTGTGTCTACTTGCACCCCTGGTATCTTTTCCTTTTTTTATAAAGACACTAGTCATAATGGATTAGGGTCCTACCCTTATGATCTCATTTAACTTTAAGTCCTTTTTAAAGGCTCTCTCTCTGAACAGTCAGATTCTAAGGTATGGGGATTAGGATTTCGACATACAAATTTTTGAGGGGATGCAATTCAATCTGTAATAACAGTATTTGCCCCTTCCAAAGCTGCGGCCATAGAGAGCCCCAGTGTGCTCTAAATTTACTGTTCTTTACAAAGTTCTCTCCCCATCTTTCCACCCCAACTTAGCAGTTTTACAAAGTAAATCACAGGGGTCACTGGCTGAGTCTGATTTTCTTCTTCCTATTAACATCCACATTTATTGGATTACATAGACTTTTAAGGCTGTGCATCAAGAAGCAGCTAGCTGGCTTTAGATCTAATCTGGCCAGCCTGTAGCAACTTCCATCTACTGCTCCTATTTACCAAATCTTTAAGGGTAATGTGCAATGGGGCAGGGGAAGGTGAAAAGAAAAGAGGAAAGAGAAATGTGCCACTGGGCCCAGAAATGCCTCATCATGGATCAGTCTCCACTCCCTATAAGACAACTTCCTGTGTTACACCACATCAAATTAACAAGCCTAGACACGGGTAAGATGGAGGAGAAACTGTTCTGCAAAGGAGTTCTAGTTTCCTATCAACACGAAATTTCATTTTCTCTGGCAGAACACTAGTCACAAAGACCCACACACATAGACCCAAGGGCCCTGGCTGACATTTCAAGCATTCCAGCTCCAGATGTGTTCAGCCACTAGGAAAAAGAAACCCAAATTATTTTAAGCAGAGTCATTTCACAAACCACCAGCTGTCCGCTGGATAAATTCTGAGTTTTTTAGTTGTAGTTACAAGCAATAATTTCCAATGTACTTATTCATTCAAAAAATATTTATTGACTAATTTCTGGAGAAGGAAATGGCTACCCACTCCAGTAATCCTGCCTGGGAAATCCCATGGACAGAAGAGCATGGAGGGCTACATTCCATAGGATGGCAAGAATCGGACTCGACTCGGCGACTGAACCACCACCACATTCTATGTACCAGGATTGGGGACATAAGGGCAATGGCTTGGGGTCCAGAGAGGGCCACAAGTTCTAATAAACAGTACTTATTTCACTCCTTTGTGCCAGGTATAGACTGGACACCTTAAACACAGGGGAAAGTATGATTGTCTCCACGGTACAATGAAGAAGTCAAGGTGAAAAGAAGTCCCAAAGACAAGCTCATGCTGCTAGTCAGTGGAAGCATCAAGATCAGAAGTCATGTGACCTGACTTCCTGGGCAGTACCTTCCACTTAACCAGGAACTTGGGTAGAAAATAAACATTTATATCTTCATTTTCACTCATTACTAACTGAAATTTAGCACTTCCTTCAATTTTATATAGTGTCTCAGATGGTAAAGAATCTACCTGCAATGCAGAAGACCCGGGTTCGACCCCTGGGTGGGGATGATCACCTGGAGAAGGGAACAGCTACCTACTCCAGCATTCTTGCCTGGAGAATCCCATGGACAGAGGAGCCTGGCAGGCTACAGTCCATGGGGTCGCAAAGAGTCTAACACAGCTGAGTAACAAACACTTCGTTCATCTCAGGCAACAAACCCCAGCAGATACAAGCAGTACCTATGACTTTATCACCAATAGAAATCACAGATATTTTCTTATATTACAGGCATTACCCAAATCTGGAAATATTATTTATGTTCATTACTATTTCAAAATTATGATAGCTATTAGATGCTGCTAGATGATGTTACTTAACACATTATTTTTAAAAGGCATATATACTACTACATCATCAATTCTCATTAGTTGGACAAGTGATTTGGAATAGGATTCCTTTAAAACACTCTGCCTTTTATTTTACACCTTCAAAAGCACTGAACCTAAAAGTGGTGCTTAGTCTCCCCAAAACTGCCAGACTGGTATATGGCAAAAAAAAATGGGTCAGAACCCTACACCACAGCAATGGGCAGCCCAGGCAAATCCAGAGCTCTGCTCCCTGTGTCTTTGAGTAAAAGGCTAGGTTGGGATTTTTATTTTTAAACAAGAGAAACGAAGAGAAAGGAAAGCACCCCAATTTCACCAGAGGACCCTTTCCACCAGTTCCTGTTTAGCACGGGCCCTAAACGCTCTCCACGGCTGGTTCCGGCCATAGCTGAAGGATACTTCTTGAGCCCTCCCCTCCGTCCCACAGGCTGTGTGGATAAACGCGCCCCACTGTGACCAGCAGACGTCACCTCCTACCCCCGGGGGCTGAGAACCCTTTGGGCGCTGGACCACGCTGGGGTTACGCGGTCAACAAGTGGAAGATGCCAGAAATTCCTACACACCAGGGCACCAAGAAATTCCCATACACAAGGCCACGGATACATTGGTTTTTAACCTCCACTCGCAGGGCAGCAGCTCCACGACCCCAGGGCGTGGCAAGACCCATGTTCCTGCAGGGGCTGCAAGAGCTGTGGATGCCGCCGGTGGAGAAGTGTGAAGCGGAATGGAACGCGATGCACAGGGGCCGCGCTGTCCCAGATGCGGGACAGAGCTGGCTTAACCATCGGCCTTAGGGGTGACCTCTCCCCCCGCCGGGTCCCTTTTCCCTGGCCAAGTGCCTGATATCGGCCGCGGGATGCCTCTTACCCAGAGGTGCGCGGAGCCTCCGGCCACAGCGTTGGCGCAGCTAAAGCTGCCGCTTCCTGCGAGGGCTCGCGGCCTCTGCTGGGGCCCGTCCGGCCCCCGGGCGGAGGCTGGAGGCGGGGAGAGCGAGCCTCCCCCCCCACGAAAGTTCCGGAAAGGTCCCGCCGATGCCCCGCCCGGCGCCACAGCCCGGGGAGCCAAGACTAAGTGCAGGCTACACCCGGGCTTCCAGCGCGCCCGGGGAACAGCCGGGGGCGTGGGTCAAGCGGGTCAGGGGCACCGCCGGCAGGGCAGACTCACCGCTACCCGCCAGCGCAGCGTGCAGTGCAGCCGGGACCCCTGGGTGCCTCCCAGGAGGGCACGGAGGCCACCTGTCGCGCCCCCCCTCCCATCCCTTGTGCCCACACTGTTGCGTAACTGGGAGGGACAAAGGTGAAGGCGGGTCTCTGGGTAGAGGCCCTGGGGGTTTGTGTCGGTCCTCCAGTGAGCCCTGTGCTCCTCATCTGGTCCCCATGGCTGTCCAGAGAGACGGCTTTCCCGCGCTTCTTTCACACGTAAAAGGCAACAGAGGCTGAGAGAAGCCCCCAAACTTGCCTTGGTAAGCAGGCGCCAGAGCAGCGCTCTCAACCCCAGGATGGAGGTCACGGTGAGCAGTTTTCCAGACACTAATCTCCACGCCACGTTGGGTCCAACGTTCATGAATGGACCTTTTCAATTGGCTGTTCTTTCTAAGTAGGTGTGAAGCGCAGGTGAGTAGTTCTCCACTACGTCAGATCTAGAACGCCTTTTTATAACATATATAGGATGTCCAGAAGTCTTACTGCAATTTTAAGCTTTAATAATTTCAGGTGTGAGTTAACAAACTTTCCTTTAAAAAGTGCCTTGAAAGTTTATTTCTTTTTCTTTTTCTTTTTTTTTTATATTTCAATTTCTTTATTTTTTTTCCATTTATTTTTATTAGTTGGAGGCTAATTACTTTACATCATTGCAGTGGTTTTTGTCATACATTGAAATGAATTAGCCATGGATTTACATGTATTCCCCATCCTGGTCCCCCCTCCCACCTCCCTCTCCACCCGATCCCTCTGGGTCTTCCCAGTGCACCAGGCCCGAGCACTTGTCTCATGCACCCAACCTGGGCTGGTGATCTGTTTCACCCTAGATAATATACATGTTTCGATGCTGTTCTCTTGAAACATCCCACCCTCGCCTTCTCCCAGAGTCCACAAGTCTGTTCTATACATCTGAGTCTCTTTTTCTGTTTTGCATATAGGGTTATCGTGAATTTTGAATAATCTTTTTTGAATTTTTTGTTTCAGTCAACTTTTTAAGGTGAAATCCTCGCAAACCAAAAATTGAGGCAATCACAGAGAAGTAGGAGCCTAATAAAGTTGAACATCTGAGCTCCTCCCTCTGGTTTTGTCTTGTTGGGTTTATCTATTGAGGTAATGCTGGTTTATCTCTGTATACCCTACAGCACACTTACCACCAAAAATTGTTTCCATCTGTCTAACTTTTTAATCATCCTACACTCTGTGTTTTTCAATGTGTGAATTCAATCCATTTACATTTAGGATGATTATTGATAAATGAGGACTTTATATTGCCATTTTATCCTTTATTTTCTGGTTGCACTATATGTCCATTGTTCCTTTTCCTTTTGTTTCTGCCTGTTACTTTAGTTTGGTGGTTTTCTGTGATATTTTTGTCAATTTCCTCTTTTTTTTTTTAATGTTTCATGTCTCTGCTCTAGATTTTTGTTTTGTGGTCACCATGAGGTTTGTATAAAATATCTCATAGGTAAAATAATCCTTCTGCTGGTAGTATCTTATCTTCATTTACCTATATAGGCTTCTTGCTTTTCCTTTCCCCTCTTTTTGTTTCCCTTGTCTCACATTATCTCTTTACATTGTTAAAAGTTGAAGTATACACTAGTTTGTTTTCTTTTCTGCTCTCCTCCTTAACCTTTATGCTATAATAGTGTTTAAAATCTAATCTTATTGAGAGTTGCAATTTTCTGATTCTATGTATCACCTGGCTCAAAGTTTTATGTATTTTGCCTTTCTGTTTTCTGGTAGAAGAGCTCCTTTCAAGACTTCTTATGAGGAAGTATAGTAGTGATGAGCTCCCTCAGTTATTGTTTGCCTGGGAAAGTGTTTATTTCTCCTTTATATATGAATGATAATTTTACTGGATAGAGTATTCTTGGGCAACAGTTTTTAATCTCTCAATATTTTAAGAATGTCATTCCACTTCCTTCTGGCCTGCAGGGCTTCTGCTGAGAAATCTGCTGAAAGCCTAATGGGGGTTCCTTTGTATGTTACCATCCTTTTTTCCCTCGTTGCCTTTAAAATTCATTCTTTTTTAAAAATAATGTTGTTTATTTTGGGCTGTGCTGGGTCTTCATTGCTGCCAGTGTGCTTTCTCTAGTTGCAGGGGCTACTCTCCACCGTGGTGCATGGGCTTCTCATCACAGCTGTTTTTTGTGGTGGAGCACAGGCTCTAGACCACCAGGCTTTAGTAGTTGCAGTGCACAGGCTTTGATGATCCATGTGGGATCTTCCTGGACCAGGGATCAAACCCGTGTCTCTTGCATTGGCAGGTGGATTCTTCACCAGTGAGCCACCAGGGAAACCTCTAAAATTCATTCTTTGTCATTGACTTTTGACAGTCTTAATGTGTCTTGAAGAAGGTCTTTTGGATGCTCTCTCAGCTTCACAGACTTGTATATCCAGTTCCTTCCCCAGGTTTGGGAAATTCTCAGGTATTATTTAAATTCTCTGCTCCCTTCTCAAGCTTTTCTTTCTGAGATAGTCATTACCCTAATGTCACACTTCCTAAAAGAGTCAGATAACTCTCACAGAATTTACTCATTTTTAAATATCTCATTTCTCTTTCCTCTTCTAGTTGTATCTTTTCTAGATTTCTGTCCTCAAGCTCACTAATTCTTTCATATGGTCTGCTCTATTTCCAATGCTTTCTCTAATACATTCTTTATCTCATTTATTGAGTTATTCAGCTCCAGAATTTGATTGGTTCTTTTTTTTAAAGTTTCAGTATCTATGGTGAAATACTCCTTCTGTTCATTAATTTTATTAGTAAGCTCATTGAATTGCCTGAGTTTTCTTTTAGCTCACTGAGTTTCTTCACAAGAGCTACACTTTGAATTCTCTACCAATGTGATTGCAATATTCTATGATGTTTAGTTTGGTTTCTGGAGAACTGTCATTTTCAATTTGTGACATGTTGTTACTGTGGTTCTTTGTGGTGCTTGATGCATAGTTCTTCTGCCAGTGCATTTGAAGTAGCCCAGTGGTCCCCAGCCTTTTTGGCATCAGGGACCAGTTTCATAGGTCATTTTCCATTGACCAGGGGTGGGGGAATGGTTTCAGGATGATTCAAGCACATTACAGTTACCGTGCACTTTGTGTGTGTGCTCAGTCATGTCCAACGCCGCAACCCCGTGGACTGTAGCCTGCTGGGCTCCACTGTCTGTGTAATCTTCCAGGTAAGAATACTGGAGTGGGGTGCCATTTCCTACTCCCAGGGATCTTCCTGAGCCAGAGATCAAACCCGAATCTCTTGCATTGGCAGGCAGACTCTTTATACCACTTTGCCACCTTTTATTTCTGTTATTACATTGTGATGTATAATGAAATAATTATACAGCTCACCATAATGCAGAATCAGTGAACTTGTTTTCCTGCAGCTGTAAATACAGATGAAGCGTTACTCTCTTGCCCACTGCTCACATCCACTGCTCACCTCCAAAGAGGCTATGGACCAGTACTGGGGGTTGGGGATTCCTGAAGTAGCCAACACCTTTCTGCCGGATTCTAACAATTCAACAGATTAGAAATTAAAGGCCTTTCTTTTGTTTTCCTGTAGGTGGCACTACAGCATAAGTTTTGGGTTTCTCTTCCATGCACTGCTTCTGATAAATTATATTCAAGAATCAGTACTTTGTGCTCTCTACCACTTCTGTCAGAGATATGACCCTATGCCCTCCTTATCACATCTGTTCCTCTGGGGTCAGTGTTGCAGGTGTGGCTGCCTTATGCACCGGGATGCTTTCATCCCTGTTTCATCCAGGATCCCCTGAATCACAGGCTCCATCAACACTGAGAGGCGGACAGTGGGAGCAGGCTGGGGATGGGCGGGTGCGTCTGCCATGCGGTGTCAGGTTCGCAGGCAGTAGACCAGGGGGCTGGAGCCATAGGCATCTCAGCCGCTAGTGGGCCAGTGTCCCATGTACAACTGCCACTGCAGCCCAGCTTCTTGTGCTGCGGGCACTGCCGTGGCCAAGGAATCCCAAGTCATGTGTCTGCCTCCACTGCCACTAGTGGGTTCTCTGGGGCTGCAGTCTTAGCTGCCATGGTTGGAAGACCAGGATTACAGGCACCAACTCCACTGGTACCTCGGTTCTGCCTTTTCTCTGTGTTACACTCAAACCACTTTTTTTTTCTTTTCCATACTTAATGTTAGGGCAAGAGGGAACACCAGAAATCATGCAGGACAATTAACTGTGTGTGGAACTATCCACACAGCACAGGAGACTGGCATTCCTGGCTCCTACTCTCTAAATGCCAATAGATTATTTCCCAGTCATCTTGACAAAAAATGTCCTTGAGTGTTTCCAAAATGCCCTACCTCACCTCCTAGTCTCACCATTTGAATGACATTAGAACATTCTCTAACACCATACAACAAAATAAACTCAGAATGGATTAAAGACCTCAATGTAAGGCCAGATAACTATGAAGCTCTTAAGAGAAAAACATAATCAGAACACTCTTTGACATAAATTGTAGTAGTATCTTTTTGGATCCACCTTCTAATGAAAATAAAAACAGAAATAAGCAAATGAGACTTAATTAAACTTAAAAGCTTTTTCACAGTAAAGGAAACCATAAACAACAACCCACAGAATGGGAGAAAATATTTGCAAATGATACAACTGACAAAGGATCAATCTCTAAAAATACAAACAGCTCATGCAGCTCTTCTAAAAACACAGTAAAAAAAATGGACAGAAGATCTAAATAGATGTTTCTCCAAAGAAGACATCCAGATGGCCAACAGGAACATAAAAAGATGCTCAACACTGCCAATTATTAGAGAAATGCAAATCAAAACTACAGTGAGGTATCACCTCACACTGGTCAGAATGGCTGTCATTAAAAAATCTAGAAACAATAAATGCTGGAGAGAGTGTGGGAAAGGAAACCCCCCAGCAGTGTTGATGAGAATGTAAATTGGTATGACCACCATGGAGAACAGTATGGAGACTCCTTAAAAAACTAAAAACGGCCTTTTCATGAAGATGGTGCCGAAGGCGAAGAAGGAAGCCCCTGCCCCTCCTAAAGCTGAAGCCAAAGCAAAGGCTTTGAAGGCCAAGAAAGCAGTGTTGAAAGGTGTCCACAGCCACAAGAAAAA